ATAAAAAGTAACTAGTGCTCCCAGAATACATAAGTAATAATAATAATAATAATGACAGTAAAGATAATAATCCTAAATCAATAACAATAATAGATAAATAAAGAATAAGAAATAATAACATCTTCACCACACTTCAAGGAAGTACAGAACACTTTGGCAGGCGAAGCTGCTGAATGCTCATCTCCACTACCAATAATAATTTTATAGTAATGATAAGAATAATATTTAATGTATTCCTAATATATAGTTGTAAGTGTTTGCAGCTGGAGTTTACTGTAGGGTAACTTCTGCCAGCCCTGAGATCATGGCTGTGAAAGAGAGATCTACCTCTCGCCTCAAACAGATACAAGGTAGAGAGTGGTTCAAGACTCTTTGTACTTCAACGCTTTCATGCTGTCACATACCTCCCCAGTAGATGAGCCTTCAGTTCCCTCTTAAATTTGGATAATGTGGCACATTGTTTTAGGTTACTATCCAACTCATTCCATGTAGTTGGGCCTTTGTGGCAAATACTAAAACTTGTGCATTTTAATTTTCTGTATTTCCCTTTAGGCAGCAGTTTGTTCCTAGTATTATGTTGGTGTGATGGTAAATATAATGGAATGAGTTCACACAATCGAACATTTAACTTGTTAACCACACTATACATTGTGCACGCATTATGGTAGAGATTAACTTCAGGCAACTTCAATAGACCGTATCTATGGAAGAGAACATCTGTGGGAGCATGACCCAAGGACCAAGAAAGTGCTCTTATGGCTTTCTTTTGTAATATTTGAAGTTTAGACATGTACGTGGGGTAGGTATTATTCCATATGATATTACAGTAATTCAAATGAGGCTCGAACAGAGATCTATACAAGGACAGTAAAGCTTCTAAGGGAAGAAACTGTCTCACTTTAAACAATAAACCTACAATTTTTGACAATTTTTTAACAAGCTCATCAAGATGCTTTTTAAAATTTGTAAATTGATCTATATGGATTCCTAAGAATTTTATAACTTCAACTTTATTAATGGTTTTACTATCAATGGTTATATTAATATTTGGGTCGTGGTACAAATGACTATTTGAGTGAAAGATCATATAAGAAGTCTTGTTGAGATTAAGTGACAATTTATTGCATCTGAACCAGTTATTTACTTTGATGAGTTGCTCATTTAGGGAGTTTTCAAGGTGATCGATGCGTTTATGCGACATAAACAAATTTGTGTCATCTGCAAAAAGTATTCGATGAATATCACAAGAATTTCCAAAATCATTAATGTAGATAATAAATAATAGGGGCCCTAGTATAGATCCCTGGGGAACACCAAATGTTATGTTTTCCAGTTGAGAGTCAGACCCATCTATGTTCACGTACTGTTGTCTACCATAGACATAGTCCCTAAACCACTGGAGAGCTACACCCCGGACGCCATAGTGAGAGAGTTTACCAAGTAAGACTTGAAAGTCAATCGAGTCAAATGCTTTGGAAAGGTCGAGAAAAACCCCAACACCAATGTCTCTACCCTCAAGAGCATTGTTGATTTTTTTCAACTAGATCTAATATGCAAAGGAAGGTTTCTCACCCATCATCTGTACTTCTTAGCAAGTTTTCCCGACGTTTCGTCCTCAACCTGGGGACTTCTTCAGGGAATGAATTCTCGGACCGCGCGTTGGAGATTTATAACGCGAGGATGCTAAGGAGAGTGAACTCGCCTTTCTAGATTGTAAGGTCATCATACTGGAGAACGGACAATTAGAGACTGAGGTCTTCAGAAAGTCCACTCACACTGACCAGTACCTGGCCTTTGATTCAAATCATCCGCTACAACATAAACTCGGGGTCATTAGAACGCTTCAACACCGAGCCCACCAGGTCCCCACAAGCTCGGAGGGAAAGAACAGAGAAACCAAACATGTTCAGAGAGCACTTTCCAGATGTGGCTACCCCAAGTGGTCTTTTACTAAAGCCCAAAGGACGAGAAAGGCCAGAGACACAGTCCTACAGACAGAAGAAAGTAGGAGGAGAGGGGTGTCCTTACCGTATGTGGCGGGAGTTTCAGAGAAACTACAAAGAATCTTTAGGCAACACAAAATCCCTGTGTATTTCAAACCTTTCAACACGTTAAGACAGAAATTAGTGCATCCCAAAGACAAAACACCCAGACACAAACAGAGCAATGTGGTGTATTCAATTAAATGTAGTGAAGAGGAGTGCACTGACCACTATATTGGAGAAACCAAACAAACTCTACAGAAAACGACTTTACCAACATCGTAGAGAAAACTCTAGTGGGCCACAGTCGGCTGTTCATCTCCACCTCAAGGCCTCCAACCACACGGTGGATGACACAGAGGTTAAAATTCTGGCTCGGGAGAAGAATTGGTTTGAGAGAGGGGTGAAAGAAGCCATTTTTGTGAGGAAACAAAAACCTTCTCTTAACAGAGGAGGAGGGTTAAGATTTGTTTTGCCTCGCATCTATGACGACATCCTAAAAACAACGCCCTAACTTGGGACAAGGTCAGTGACATGCTAATGAGTTAGGAAGGGTGAAACCTGCACTCCACGTGAGCATCCCAGCAGACGGTCTGTGACATGCTAAGGAGTTAGGGTCGTTAGCCTCAGCAGGGTCGTTAGACCTGCTCCCTTCTACATCAAGCAGACCGTAGATTGTTTACGAGTTAGTATCAGGATTAGGGTGTGGCTTACCACACCCATAGGTTATAAATCTCCAACGCGCGGTCCGAGAATTCATTCCCTGAAGAAGTCCCCAGGTTGAGGACGAAACGTCGGGAAAACTTGCTAAGAAGTACAGATGATGGGTGAGAAACCTTCCTTTGCTTTGACTAATCCCTGTACGACTGAGGGCTTACACAAACTTAGATCTAATATGGCCATATACGTGCTGCTGCTTTTCCTGAAGCCATATTGTGAAGGATCCAGTGTGTTGTGTTTGTTTAAATAATCTAGTAATCTATCATAAACTACTCGTTCCAAAATTTTGGACAGGGGGGGCAGAATAGATATGGGTCTGTAGTTGTGTATGTCATTTTTGTCCCCTGACTTATATATAGGTATTATTTTCGCCACCTTAGTTTGTTCAGGGACAATGCCTTGTTGTAAAGATAGATTAATTATATGAGTCACTGGTTCAGCTATTTCATTCACAATGGCTTTCAAGATTTTGCTGCAAATGCCATCAGCACCAGCTGTATATGAACATTTCATTTTATTTATTATATTGGTTACTTCCATTTTGCAGGTAGGTCTGAGGTAGCAGGAGCTAGAGTAATTGTTTGTCAAAAAATCCTTATAATTTACACCCCCTGGTGGGCAGATTTGTTGGGACAGCTCTCTTCCAACTGATGAAAAAAACGCATTAAAAGCATTGGGCAAAGAGTCATTCTTGGTATTACTTTTAAACTCAGTTGATGCTCCGGCGTCAGGGAGGACTGGTGCTTTTTTGTTGCGTCCGAGCACCTCATTCAGCACCTTCCAAGACCCCTTCTGATCCCCTGAGATTGATTTAAGTCTTTTTGCAAAATAATTAGCTTTACTGACTCGTATTAAACTTGTTAATTTGTTCTTGTATTTTGTATATCAATCTTTATTAGAGCAATTTGGATTTCTTTTATATTCCTTATAGAGTTTATTTTTTTGCCGGATTGACTTTAAGATTCCATTTGTGATCCATGGATGCCCTCTTTTACTATGTTTTAAAGATTTCTCTGGAATGGTTACATTGATGGAATCATTAATTTCATTGATTAAGGAATTATAGGCCTTGTTGGGGTTTGAAATGTTATAAAATTCATCCCAGGTTTTGTTTTTGAGGTGTAGGGAGAGATTAACGAGGGTTTTGCTATTTAGAACTTTTATCTTCCTCTCTGAACATGAATCTGGTACTCTATTGATCCAGTTAGTGAACAGAGCAACAGGAAAATGATCAGAGATATCAGAATATATTACACCTGACTTGGATCCAGTGTTTTGGATGTTGTTATTATATTGTCTATAGTGGTCTTGCTTCTCTCTGTAACTCTGGTGTATTTATCAATAGTGGGATAGAATGATGAGGAGCAGAGGGTATTTTGGAAATCAGTTCCTATTAAATCTTCTTTAGATAGGTCTATGTTAAAGTCGCCCATGATAATACAGTTTTTCTTCATCATATTTATGTAGTTTAACATGTTATCGAAGTGGTCTCTAAATGTTTCATAATTGGAATCAGGTGGTCGATATACTACTCCAATAATTATAGAGCCTTTTATTGTTTTTACTTCTAGAAATAAAGAATCAGAGCAACCATCCTCTACCATGATATCATTTCGTTCCTTTACAGAATATTGATTACTTACATATATGCATACCCCTCCTCCAATTTTACCCAGTCTGTTTCTAAAATGACCAGAGTAACCATCTAATTTATACATATCTTCAAATGATTGTTCATTCATCCAAGTTTCACAGCACTCAATTATATCAAAGTTAATGCCTGTACTGGCAAGTAACGAAACAAGTTCATCATAATGCTTTTTTAGACTTCTAATATTTAGGTGCATTAAAGAGAATGAAGAGTTGTTCATTTGTTTTAGTTGCTCAACGTCATAATAGTCACAGGTAATACTGGTAGAGGCACGAAGGTAGTGCTCAAATTTCTCAAATTCACTACAGCAATTTATGTCAATTATTCCCATAATTTTATTATGACATATTTCAGATTATATACTTTACTTCCACATATCAAGCATAGGACCATATCCATTTTTATCAAAACACCCAGTGAAATAAGGAAGAAAAAATATAGACATATAATTAAACAAAACAAAAGAGTTTGGATTACTACCATCGAAACATTTCTGGCATTCCACTCTCCCAGTACAGAGACTTAACACCAAAAGTAGTTGTCCTTTGGGGGAAAATGTGTCCCGTAACCCGCGTTGACAGGCTTGAAAAATCACAAGAGTCAAAGGGTGTAGCACTCATAGTACTCAAGTACAGTTACTTTACCAGTCACGTGAGGGATGAGAGGAATGCTTCAGCCTTGTTGGGATCTTTGAAAGACTTTTGCCCGCCGTTAGCCTTGAAGGACAGGATTGCTGGATAGGCCATTCTAAACCTGATGTCCCGTTTAATAAGCTCCGCACAGACCGTGTTGAATGCCCGTCTAGCAGCCCGGACTTCAGGTGGAGTGTCTGGTACGAGCCGCAAAGTACGGCCCTCATGCTGGGGATTCCCCTGGCGCTTCACCGCTGACATTACCATTGCCACATCTCTGGAGCGTTGAAGTTTCAAGACCACAGTGCGCGGGCGTCCGTCCTCAGGTATTCCAAAGCCCCGATGGGCACGGTCAATGGGTATAGTTGTAACAGGTAGCTGCAGTAGTTTAGGAATGAACGCCTCAAAAAACACAGTCAGGTCATTTCCCTCAGTGGACTCTTTCAAATTTAGTATCCGAATGTTTTTGCGCCTTTGACGACATTCCAGTTCAATTACTTTGTCTCTCAGCTCTTTATTAGCGATCAACAGTGAATCTAGATGCTTTTTAATCGGAGCTATGCCATCCTCCAAGTGTGAAATACGCGTTTCAGCCTCCGCTTGTCTCGTAGCAAGTGCCGCGGTGGTTACAGCGACATCGTCGATACGCTTCATCATGTTATCCACCTTGGCCTCGAGTTTCCCAAAGGATTCATTCACGGACAATAGGATGCGTTTTCCCTCTTCTGCCACTGCCGCTGAAATACTCTTTAGCAGATCTTCAGTCATTGAAACAGAGGGGGTAGCTTCAGAGGTAGCATTAGCATTGGCACTGCCGGTGATAGGAGTAGTACTCAGAAAAGAGGTTCCCTCAGAGGCATCTTGGCCTTTGATTCCACGCTTAGATTGTTTGGACATGATTTAAAGCTTGACGAATTGCGTTGAGTCGGTAGGTGATTTCATAAAATCATTGGAAGGAGAGTGGTGCCAGACGTCTCCTCTCACGTCGCCATTTTACTGGTGTAAACATACTACTGCTAATGTACAGATGTAAACATACTGCTGCTAATGTACAGATGTAAACGTACTGCTGCTAATGTACAGATGTAAACATACTGCTGCTAATGTACAGATGTAAACATACAACTACATACTAGTTGCACTAGAGATTTTATACTTCTTTATTATGGTAAAATTTTAAAGATTTTACCATAATACATTTTATAATTGTGTCTTATGCTAGAGTTTGAGATTGTATTTTATTTTAATTAGAATAGCTATTATTCTGTGTGCTCCTCATTCTTCTGTTCTGTAACTTGTGTTGCAACAGTGAAATTTCCTCGCTGTGGGACGAATACAAAATCTTGTAATCTTAACTTTTGCTCCTGGGGCCGCTATGCTAGACTTTTTTTTTTTCTCAGACAGAGAAATTCAACCAGTTTCCAAGTTTTAGTAGTCTGCTTTATTTTAAATACAACAAGTTAGAAGACAGAAAACAAGCTGTGAGTACTAGAATGCATCATGATCCGACGCATGGTTTAGTGTTTCAATATATTTTGTATAGAGATAGACACATTGAAATTCAGGTGTCCAGCAGCATAAACCCATCCACCCATACAGACAAATAAATGCATAATTCTAAAAGTTACTAATAATGGTAATAAAGTGCAACATCACCTTAGGTCGCAGCAGCAGAGTTTGAGTAGCTGCTGAGTGAAGAAGGACCACAGGCCACAGCAGCAGAGGTGGACTTTACAAAGTTGCTGATTTGGCGATGACTAATCAGAGAATCACACCGTTCAAACATAGAAAATGAAATAATATGGAAACACATACATCCACTGTCCCAGATCATCACCGTCCTTAGACCCTCCTGCAACGGCAAGGAACCGCTCAACAAGTTACGTCTGTGTTTTTAGTCTCATGTGTATTATTATAGGAACTCTTTTACATTTCTCTATCGTGATCCCGGCATGTTACTTTTATGTAAGAATAAAACAACCTTTATAGACCCCCACCTTTCTCTCCTGACCTGAGACTCCAGTGATGTCAGTGGATGTGTTGCCACTCATGTTGTACTGAAACTGAAGTGCAGGGAATAATTAAGACAGTGGGCTTTGTGTGTGAAACAACCCATGAAATAGAGTAAGTGATAGGTCTGGTACAGCGTGGGCTCCTCCGTGGAGAAGATTACCTCTTGATGCAGATGGAGATGTACAGCTCCGGGTGGGATAGCGAAGAGGGCGGCTGATGAAACTGCAAACTGTGAAATGAGTCCATCCGACAAACACGGATTGTAAAACTATTATTTTGACAAGAATGGATTCAGATTCGGATTCCGTTTATTTGCCATTCGCAGCAAACCCACATTGGAATACATTTGCAAAAGTCCCCAGTGTGCACCAGACAAGTACATGAATAAAACATGGTCAACACAGAGGTCTATTTTTAGGTGCTAAATGAAGTATAGCATGAGCATTTATACATACACAACTGTGAGAGCTGAGGCTAGTTGAATAGCTTTCTCAATAGCTACATCACAGCCAAACACACATGTTTGTGCCTTAATTAAAAACAAAAGCCAGTGTACACAAAGAAATACCTTCAAAAAGTATGGACCCATCATCTGCAGGAAGATCAGCAAGGGTGACTCTGATTGCCATCCCCTGAACCAGTAATGGATAAATAAAGGGATGAATTGGAGAAGCGGAAGTTTACTGGATTACACTCAATGGTATTTTGGGTTAGCAAGGCATTGGGACACATAGAATAACACAGCGGGCTGCAATTGGCCCTTGACTGATCAACAACCTGCGTCTATACGGCATGATGATCCAGGACACTTTAACATGTATGGACTACAACATGTATGGTCATTTATCAACATTCATGGACATTGGTCTCTCCATATGGATCAATACAAGTGTTCTATATTTTTTGTGTCACCGGCAACTATGGTTGCCAAAGTTTATCATTGTCATTTTCTACTAACAGAAAACAAAATCAAAGGTATTAATACAGGTTATATGCTAGTAAACAACTTAGACCAAATCATAACTTAAAAAAATCATGTTTCCTGATGCTTGCTGAAAACATGGATGAAGCAAATCATCCCAGAAAGATGGTCATTTTCATACATTTTGAATAATTTTTTCCCCAAACATAGAAACAATTATTTGATCATTTAAGTCTCTAGAGTAACCCTCCCTCAAAACATTGTACCTGGGATAAATATTTTTTGAGTTATGGGCATGTTTCTGTGCGCGGCAACTTTAGTTGCCGGTGGGCACATATGATGTCACTAAAGGAAAGGAAAACAATGCCTAATATACAGTACCTAATAACAGTGCCTAATAATGATTTACTTATTTTTAATTGTAGAATGGTGTACAATGGATTATTTTAAACCTCTTAGATTACTCTTCACATCTAAATAAAGTATTTACAGGTATTCAAAGCCTTTGTCTGTAGGATTTTGATACAGCTGTAGCTCAGACCCTCCTCCAGCGTCATGGAGTAAGACACGGGTGTCCAAACCTCTTAGTAAGAGGACCACACAATCATAAAACAAATGTAAGTGAATAACAATATAGTCAACGACTGGATTCCAGAGTGTCTGAGATTTACAGGAAGATATAGCCTGAATGTATTGGTGGAGCTGAAGTTAGTTGGATGACACTATCAAAGTGCCTCAATGGCAACTTTGTGTTAGCAGCAGAGGGCCACATAAAGTGGCCCAGAAGCCTGAGTTTGGACATGCCTGGAGTAAGACGAAGTGGGCATGGCTGATGCCAGCAGGTTTGACAACCTCAACCACTGGCCCTGCAACAGTGGTGGCAAGTACAAGTACAAGCGATGCAAGTTATGTGAGAAATGTGTTGTGCCGCTACATGTGGAGAGCTTCAAGTATCATACTGTGTGTGTATAGGGTAGAATACATTTATATATCATGGATAATCTATACTTTCTTGAAATTACCCTTGGCATCAGTCCTTGTTATTTTTTCGCTGTTGGGAAAAAGAAAAGCAATAGAAAGTACTTGTTTCTTGTACTCTTTTTTTTGCCGTTTGTTTGGATTGCCAATGGGAAATTTCCCTTTTTGAAAACTTTTGTTTTGTATTTTAGAATAAAGAAACCGTTCAAGGTGTTTGTTGTTTTAGATTTTATAAAGGAGGAATCAATCACAATCAGTTTGGCTGATCACAAACTTTCTGGGTTGATTATACCTATTGACAAGCTATGAGCCCACCGGCAACTATAGTTGCCAGCCCTAAAAATGCTATTTTCTTCAAGGCAAGGTACAAAATTGAAAAAAAAATATATATAATTTTCCTCATTCTAGGGCACACAACTAATAACATAAACACTCTGAAAAAAATGTGGGCACAAATGGGTTAACTGTTGATTCTCTGATCTGTGTTGACGATTTCAACAGTATTGTCAAGTCCTCTGATATGACTGCTGTTGTGATTTAGGGCTATACAAGTGAAGGGAGAATGAAAATGACTCCTTTGTACGCTGCACTTTCTCCACTCTGATAAGACCTCTGATAACGCTTCTGCCAAAACAATTTCCAAGTGGTAACCTTTGTTTGTTACTTACGTGGCAATAAAAATTATTCTGATTCTGATTCTGATAAGGCGGCCCAAGAAGTGACAAAACTCTCACAGTTCCATTTTGAAGCTCTCTTCCAAAGAAGGCTGCATGGGGAGAACATCACCTCTATGCTCTCGGTCCTCCATTTTCCCCTGGAGGGCCAAGAGACCGTCTGTACTCAACAGTCAAACCTCAGCTCCAGGTTTGAAAGGACTTCCTCAACTCTTCAATAGCCTCCAGCTTCAACATGGAGAATTTGCTGGACTGTGGCCCCCAGGCGTTGGATCGTGGAGGGGCTTGGCTCAGCCACCTTATGCAGCCACATGGTCCAGGAACAAGGGCTGGCCTCCATTCATCGCCATCGAACATCCTGGTTGAATGCTCTGCTCCATACAGGTGTTGGCTTACTAAAACCTACAATTCAAACTAAGAACACTGTGTCCCTTACAAAGGCTACAAACACATGGTAGCCTAGGCCTTCTAATCCATTCATGTACAGTACAAAGCCTTATCTCACCTCAGCCATTGCATTTTAACCATGTGTCTTACAATCAACTTTTCCTTCATGATATTATTGACAATTTGCATATTTCATGTCTAATCTGTATTGTATATATTGCATTAAATCTACAAAACCATCTTTGTCTGAAAGCGATATTTGTGCTGATTTACCTCCAGAAATTAGGTCACTGATTTGTAAAAGTATTCATACTCATATGATTACTGAATCAATAAATGTGCCAGATAATAGATAATGTGACGTCATACGTACGTTATCAGTTGAGATTTATTCACTGGTGCCCCGAAATATTGCTATAATCAATTATTGTAATTACTACATGGATCCTGGACTGCCTCACAGACAGAACCCAGTTTGTGAGAACCAGGGATTTTGTGTCTGAGGTCCTGACCTGCAGTGGGGACCCCCAAGGGACCATCCTTGTGCTGTCCCTCTTCACACTCTACACTGCGGACTTCAGACACAACACAGACGGTTCTATAACTTGTGATGCAACACTGACATTTTCCCACAATGGGACAAAAAAAGGATCTCTTAATCTTATGGCAAATGCTCAAATTAAACGTGATGTTGCTGGTCAGTATGTAACTTTATGCATGACAGCCCTCTGAAAAAGTACAAGGTTTTGGAGCACAGGCAAATGAGCTTGGCTGTTCAGCAGAGTCCAAACCTGTGTAACGCAGTGATGGGTAGAACGGTGCAGACAGCCTCATTACACCAGTGTGGACCAAGAGGGAGGCTGTGAGGGGGTCCTATCAAACAGCCAACCAGGTGAGAGGAAAAGCACTAGGATTTAGGTCAG